AGGGTGTTCAGGCAGTAAATGAGCCAAATATACACAAAGCTTCATTATGAATTGCTTTTAATCAATCCAGCTCATTCAAAACATCACGATTGCTGAAATGCGTGGCACAGCTTCCAATCTCTGTTTCGCCAAAAATGGAGACAAGAGGGTGGGTACCACAAAAGAAGATGTGAGAGAGGAAAAGAAAATGCTTTTAACTCTTAAATCTAAATAAAACCGAGACGATCATTGCTGTTTCGGTCTGTTATTTCCATTTGTGTTCTGTATTTTTGGCAGACTTTTTTGATTATTTTCAGTGGATTTACGATTGAGTTTGGTGCAGCTGTGACTTCCCTATCCGCTAGCAAGCTTGGTTTGCCAATTAGTACAACTCATTCTTTGGTAAGCTTTTTCGTTTTAAATAAAACATAAATTTTGATTTTTAGGATAATAATAGTAAGAGGAGGAATGACAAGTAAAAAGTGTTTATAAAAATAAGTAGTGAAAAGTGGTGCATTGTTTGTATCTGTGTACGTAAACTTTCATGCAGTCTTATATATGTTCCTGGATCAGCAGCAGTTTGTAGTGTTCTTTCCCAGTTGCACAGCTGGCAATTCCTGCAGGTGCTGCGCAGAGCATGCCACTTGCTTTTTTCCAGCAAACAGGTGAAAGCCGACGAGGAATAGCTTATGATCTACAAGCTGGCCGCCAGTCCTGATTCAGCCTAATTTACAATCGCGAAAATGAAAAACTCCACATTTGTGTTTTTCTCGTTTTGTTTATTCATAATGTGTATTGCACCTGCAGGTTGGAAGTGTATTATTTGTTGGGATGATACGCTCGAGGAGAGGAGTGGACTGGAGGATATTCACTAATATTGCCTTGTCGTGGATTTTAACTTTACCCATCTCAGGTCACTTTTACTTATTCATTCTTTTACAGGTTTCTTCCTTGGCCAGCTTCCGTTATGATACATTCGGTTCTTAGCGATTCAAAGTAAAAACAGTGTCTGTATCGTTTTAGCTACTTTGACAGCTTGTTCTTTTCCTGCGCTTTCTCGTTTAAGCATATTATTAGCGTATCTGGACATATCTTCCCACATATTACCAAAATTCCTCATTTCCTAGTTAATCTCAAGTTTTTTTGCTAAAATTTGCACTCCTTTGCTCTTTTTTGTACAGTTCTCACAGATATGGTTCTGGCGTTTACTCAGCAAGAGCAAAGCGGTCGGTTTTCCTGTGGGGTTTTCTTCCTGCTTAAGCCACTACTTCAGAAGTCAAGACTGGGGAATTCTGCAACAACTATTGTGTTTGTTGGCAATTAGTAGCACTGAATGCTCTCCAAATGCGAATTTAAAAGTTACTACTATAACATTCAGAGCTTTAATTTTTGGAAAACTCTCTGGTCATGCTTTTTTGCATATGTGCAAATGCAAAAACGCATATTGTGACGATCCATGGTATGTGTGTGTGTCTGTGTCTGTGTCTGTGCGTGTGTGCGTCTGTTCGGCTATTTCAACCTGGCAACCAGGCAAGAATTGATGCCGAAATTTTGCAGGTCATTTCCTAGACCAAGTGTTATCCCAGGAACATAGTAGTAGCCTCTTCCCTCCTCACCCCCCCAGGAATGTAGTACTAACCCTCACTCACATACAAGCCCCACATGCAGGCGACTGAAGGCCTGGCGGGGAAATTGCTAGCTCAGGAACCAGAAAAGCTGGAAAGCTGCAACTTTACGGGATGTTCCTGTTTATGTGCAAAGTAAGATTTCATACAGCCCTAAAGTTTTAAGACACTTGGTTCTCACGTGCAGAAACCAGAAATTTGTGGCAAGAAAATTGCTAACCGAGAAACTGGAAAAGCTGGAAAGCTGCAATTTCCAGGGGATTTGCCCTTCTACATATTATCTGAAGATTTAATATTCAGTCTGTAAGTATGCCTGGCTCTCACGTGCGGACATGGGTGATTTTTGGCTGGAAAATTGCTAACTCTGGAGCTAGTACAGCTGGGTCATTTCCAGTGGTTGACCGGTCGGCGGAAATTATTTATTTTCTTTTATACAAAATTTACAATGATTTACGGCAGTCAGTGCAGAAGCAACAACCATTTGTAGAGTTAACGACTTGATTGCTTCACTTGTAGCGTAAAAACGCATGATTGCACCAGCAAGGCTGGTGCCTCGCAGCCTAGGCTTTCGATAGGAGCATGATATTTCATTCCGCCTAGTAATCCTAGTATTTTGAAGTTGTGATCTAGAACTCGCTGCCAAAATGGAGGCGAAGAATGGAGATGGAAAGGGGAAAGACTGCGAGGGAAGCAAGGGGTCCGAAAAGTTAAAACTCACTAGGAATCTGTAACTTTGCAATTTTTTTTTCAATTTTAACTTGCTTTTCAGGCTTCCTATCCGCTGGATTGATGTTGATTTTGAAACTGTCTTTATAAAACTGTACTTTGATGCACGCTTGTTTTGTTTCATCTGTACATATTGTTATCTGCATGAACTTATCTTGCAAAATATTGTCGGTTTTGATATTAATATGTTGTTATATGATAAATGAATCTGTTATAATTTCTCCGACGGAATTTTTCCTTTCCTCGCTTTTATGCGTGAAGCCATGCCCGAATTCCTAGGTTTCATTGTACCACTGCCCCCATTTTTATGCGTTTTTTGCAGCAATGCAATGCGAAAAACGCATATTGACGAGAGGTCGTCTATTTGTCCGTTTGTCTGTGTGTCTGTGCGTCTGTGTGTGCGTCTGTCACGCACTTTCATCTCAGGACCTATAAAAG